GTATTTTTACACATTTTCCTTTGAAACAAAAATATTGCATGAGTTTCCCTAAAAGGAGGGGGGGCCCTGAGGAGGAGCTGAAGGAGGCTTAGGAGGCAGAAGAGAGCAGATGCCCATTCAGTACCCACTGTACCCTACAGTCTCACCCCTGCCCTTAAGCCCTTTAACTCTGACTGCCCCTGCCCCCATGCGTCTAACCCAAGACTCAGCTACTATGCCTTCTCTGGGCACAGTGTTTGAGGAAATTCCCTTTTTCTTTTTGACTTTTAAAAAAGGACTGGGGAAATATGATGTGTAGTGAAGGGGACTCACTCCATGGATGTTAAGCCAAGATGTCTTGTAGAATTTCTGGGACCCTCCTACCACTGGGAAGGAGCGCCTCTAATGAAGCAATCAGGATGTAATTTTAGAAAGGGCAGATATGGACGGTGGAACCAGATGGAAAATACAAGGATTTCTCTAGCCCTGGCTTTGGCCACAGCACAGCAAAGTTAGCGAGGGTGGAGAAATTTCCTGGGACTACATCTCTCCATCGGCCGGGGCACAAGGCGGTGCTCATGGCCCTGCACTCCTCCTTCACCCCCAAACCAGTTCCCTCACATGTATATTCTTAAAAGAAACCCAAGTCTTACTTTCAAAGCACACACTTAGTCTCAACTAGGGAATCAACAGAAGCAGCAGCGATTTTTTTCCCCCTTCTTGACATCTGGCTGGCGATTGGCTGGAAGAGGGTCAGCTGACTTTGTCATTTTGTCTGTCCTGGATTGGAGCCGTCCCTATAACCATCTAGTTCCGAGTACAAACTGGAGACAGAAATAAATATTAAAGAAATCATAGCCCGACCAGGTAAAGGCAAAGGGATGAATTCCTACTTCACTAACCCTTCCTTATCCTGCCACCTCGCCGGGGGCCAGGACGTCCTCCCCAACGTCGCCCTCAATTCCACCGCCTACGATCCAGTGAGGCATTTCTCGACCTATGGAGCAGCCGTTGCCCAGAACCGGATCTACTCGACTCCCTTTTATTCGCCACAGGAGAATGTCGTGTTCAGTTCCAGCCGGGGGCCGTATGATTATGGATCTAATTCCTTTTACCAGGAGAAAGACATGCTCTCAAACTGCAGACAAAACACCTTAGGACATAACACACAGACCTCAATCGCTCAGGATTTTAGTTCTGAGCAGGGCAGGACTGCGTCCCAGGACCAGAAAGCCAGTATCCAGATTTACCCCTGGATGCAGCGAATGAATTCGCACAGTGGTGAGTTTTACAGCTCCGAGATATAAATTAAATAAACTGAACTGGCTTTATGACCGGCTTCCCTAGAAGAACGGGCGGAGAGAGTTTTTTATGGCCCCATAAAAACAATCACGCTCGTCTCCTCGCCGACGCCGAGACAGGGCCCCCTCTTCTGCCCCCTCTGCTCGCCTCCCGCGCTGGCTAGCAGGGGCCTGGCCCCCTCGGCCCCTGACGGATTGGAGGGCTCCAAGGCGAGCCGAGGGGGCAGCAACAGGGCAGGGGATGGGGGGAGGGGACAGAGGGTGGGGGAGCCCCCCAAAGTCTAGTTAGCCTGAAGAGAAGGGAGGGGGAGAGGAGAGGGCAGAGAAATGGGAAGAACTTTCCTCCAAGCAGCTAGGGTGTTTGGAGATGTGAGGGAACCCAGCCCTAGAGAAATGGGGCCCTTAACCCCCAGTAATTGGAATTTTTCAAAAATCAGCTTGTAGACTGGCAGCTTTCTGCCTCCTTTTTGCCCCGCCCCCCTCATCTTTCTCTGGGACACACTTCTCCCACCGTGTGGGAGGACTGAATGAAGTTGGGGTCCTGGCTATACCCCAGTGGGGGTGGGGCAGAGGAAAAGGGAGAAGGCCGAACCTGAGGGGGCCTAGAGCTGTTGGCCAAGTTGAGAGGGTCTGGACTTTGCTGGGCAAAGGTCTGCAGAGGACGTCTTGCTGACTGTTTTTAGTGTATTTTGTGCCCGGATCTCTAGGGGTCGGTTACGGAGCGGACCGGAGGCGCGGCCGCCAGATCTACTCGCGGTACCAGACCCTGGAACTGGAGAAGGAATTTCACTTCAACCGCTACCTAACTCGGCGCCGGCGCATCGAGATCGCCAACGCGCTGTGCCTGACCGAACGACAGATCAAAATCTGGTTCCAGAACCGTCGGATGAAGTGGAAAAAAGAATCTAATCTCACGTCCACGCTCTCGGGGGGCGGCGGAGGGGCAGCTGCCGACAGCTTGGGCGGAAAAGAGGAAAAGCGGGAAGAGACAGAAGAGGAGAAGCAGAAAGAGTGACCAGGACTGTCCTCGCCACCCCTCTCTCCTCCCTTGCTCACCCCAGCTCCCCATCACACTATTTATCACTGGCACAACTGATGTTGTGACTTCCTAAAACAAAATTAGGGAGCCAAACGTGGACCTGAAAGTCAGCTCTGGACACCGCCCCCCCCCACACACACCGCACAACTCTTCACCATAGCCTCCTCCTCTAGCTCCCCTTCTAGCTCCTTCTCGGCTTGTACACAGGCTCCTTCCCCCGCCCAGGCCTTGGGGGCTCGGTCCCTGAACCTCGTTTCCGACTCCACAGATGTCCCTCCAAGGGGAGCCCCTGGCTCCTGCCCCAGCTCTCGACGCCCTCCGCCCCTGCCCCCGTGCAGAGGGCCGGCTCCCGGGCCTGGGGCCTCCACTCCAGGTTCTCAGGGTCCAGCCTGGCAGCCGGAGGGTGGGAGGCCCAAGGAGGGCGCGCCTTGGCCCCACAGCAACCCCCAGGGCCTCCCCTCAGTCCCTGCCCGGCCCCTCTGCCCCAGCAAATGCCCGGCCCAGGCAAATTGTATTTAAAGATTCCTGGGGGTCATTATGGCATATTACAAACTGTGACCGTTTCTGTGTGAATATTTTTAGCTGTATTTGTGGTCTCTGTATTTATATTTATGTTTAGCACCGTCAGTGTTCCAATCTCATTTTTAAAAAGATTTAAAAAAAAAAGAGGGAAAATTACAAAAAGAAAAAAAGTGAATGGTTTGTTTAGCCAGTAGGAGAAAAATAAATGAATCCCCTCGTGTTACCCTCCTGTATAAATCCAACCTCTGGATCCGTTCTCGAATATTTAATAAAACTGATATTATTTTTAAAAGTTTATATCCGCATTTCTGTTCTTTCGTCCGTCCTCCCGCCGGCCTGCAGCAGACTCCCAGCGCTCCGCCTCGGCCCGCGGCTTGCAAGTCCCCAGCCCTCCGCGCTCGCCTGTCCCTGAGCCTTGCGCCGCCGAGCCCCGGCCTCAGGGTTCTTGTGACGGTGCTGCGGTACCGAGAGGCCTCTGTGACCACCGCCCCCCACCACGCGGAGCCACACACACCCTGGAAAAGCAAAAGCAAAAAAACAGGCCGCTTAGGCTTTCGTTGGGGGCGGGGGAAGCCGGAGTGAGCCGGGTTGGCCTCTAAGCCCCACTCCGGCCTTTCTTCCTGCCCATGGCAGCCTGGGATCCTGGGTTTTTCAGCCCTGAGCCCCGAAAGGCCAGAAAAGGAGGGCGAACCAGGCCTCAGGGTCGCCCCCGCCCACTCCCAGGAGGAGCGTGGGGAGAAGGAGGCCCTGCGAGCAAAGCCCCCTGCCCGCCAGGCCGGCTGTTGCGAAACGTGGCGTGGCGGAGGCAGAGAGCGCGGAGAACACAAGTCCTTCCGCTGGGATTGAGCGATTCAAGGACATCTCCAAAGAGAAAGCCTGGAAGCTGAGCTCTGGCCTGTACTGGGACTCCTGACTGGCCGGGACAGAATTCCTCCTCCCTTACAGCCTGTCTGGCTGCTACCTTTTCTCAACCTGGCGGGTGAGGGGCACAGCAGGACCCTAACCAGTTCTCAGTTCCAGCCTTCTCTCCCCAAGTCCCTCCAGAGAAACCTGAGTGGGCCTAGGGGAGAGGGGGCGGGGGTCTCCCGGAGGGAAAAATATCTGCCAGAATTTTCCAGACTCTCCAGATCTCTGCCACCGCCCCCTCCAGAGCCTCCGCTAGCCGCTAGCCGCTAGCCGCTAGCCGGGAGGGGGACTTCTGGAAGAGGCGGAGATTTCCTAGGGAAAAGCAAGCAGGAAAGAGTAGGGCTTGGGACTAGGAGAGGAGGGGACCCAAGGGTTGGGGAGATCCTGACCAAAGGCTGCCAAAGTTGTCCCGTGTCTGGTGTCTGACCTGTCCACTCCTTCCCCATGCCTCCAAAGCACTCAGAAATGGCTCTCCTGGGGGCCTTCTAGATTCTAGGAAAGCCTGGTCTAAGGGCTTTAACCTTTTTCCAAAGGATACAAGCAGGCCTTCCTCATGGTACGTGTGGAGACTTGAATCTTGCCTCTCCATGCCTTAGGGTAGCATCTATTTGCTATCTGAAATACTTAGCATCAGTACCCCCATGAAGATCACAAACAGAGGAGACCTCCAGCCCATTGTGTCTGGTTACACAATGTGAACGTTGCCTCTCCACCCCTCTAGGGTTTCTAAGCATGGTGAAGTCTTCCCAAGTCCACCTGGTCCCTCACCACCCTGAGTGTCCCCAGAACTCCCAGATCCTCAGGACCTCTGTCTAGTTTTGCCCTGGCAAGGCCCCTTCCTTGCCTTGAGCATCCTGTCTGCCTCTCAGAGGTTGAGTTCACTTTCCCATACTAACAGGCTCCTCTTCAGCAGAACTGAGTCCTTGGAGCCTCCCGGGCAAGGGGCCTTGACCTTAGGGAACCCAGGATAAACCCCCTTGGTTCTCTCCAACCTGGGCAGTGGATGCATTACCTAAAAATCCCCTTTCTCAGTTATTTTGGAGCTTGGAAAGCTCTGGAGGTAGGGATAATGGCACTATCCATTACAAAAACCACCTGTGTGCATCGTAAACGGGGCTTCATTTTTTCTCAAATTTAAATAAAAATTTAAAGGCCAGCGCAAGAATTAGTTTCTGCAAAGAGCAGCATCTCTACAATCCAGCCACCAGAAGGCGAAGCGGCGCATCAGCATGCAATTCCTCCAAGTCGGCACCAGGTGTCGCTGTGAGCTTGTTGTCCCGACTACCCCCCAATTCCAAGAACCATTTTTTTCTTCCCCTTCTTTCTCTCCCTCTCTCTCCCTCTCTCTCCCTCTCTCCCTCTCCCCCTCTCCCCCTCTCCCTCTCCCCCTCTCCCTCTCCCTTCTGGTTGGGCTTTGCCAACATATCAAGATGCGTTTCGCCGGCTTCCATCACTAACCTCCCGGAGGTCATCAAGCCAAATTTATGAGTGGCCGCTCCAGTCACGTGACTCTATTTAAGGCTCCCTTATTTGGGAACAGCGCATAGGATAAAGAAAGAGATATCTCCACCTATAAATTGTGCACTTTGGAGAACAAAAAACCCCTCAACTTCAAAGAGTCACAAATCACCCTTAATCAAAAAGGGTGCAGAAATTTTTTTGGGCCCTCCCCGCCATGAGCTCCTACGTAGCCAATTCATTCTATAAGCAGAGCCCCAATATCCCTGCCTATAACATGCAAACTTGTGGGAACTATGGATCGGCCTCAGAGGTGCAGGCATCCAGGTACTGCTACGGCGGATTGGACTTAAGCATCACTTTCCCACCGCCTGCGCCTTCCAACTCTCTCCACGGGGTAGACATGGCTGCCAACCCCCGGGCTCACCCCGACCGCCCCGCCTGCAGCGCTGCGGCCGCTCCGGGACACGCTCTGGGCAGAGACGACGCAGCTCCTCTGAACCCCGGGATGTACAATCAGAAGGCGGCCCGCCCGGCGCTGGAGGAGCGAGCTAAGAGCAGTGGGGAGATCAAAGAGGAGCAGGCGCAGACAGGGCAGCCCGCCGGACTGAGCCAGCCACCGGCCCCGCCACAGATTTACCCGTGGATGACCAAACTGCACATGAGCCACGGTAAACTTTAGGACTTCATTTTGCGCGCTCGGGTCCGCCTGGGTTTTATAGGCCATGCGGGGCAAATAAAGAAAAAAAACCTGCGGCCATAAATTTTACGATCCAGGCATCAATGGCTCGTAAAACTGTCCACTAAAAGGCTTAGAGGCTGTGTGCGCCCAAATTTACGACGACATAATTGGATCATAGGAACAAAACGTGTATAAAAGGCAATATTCAATTTTTGGGGGAGAGGGAGGGGGTTAAAAAAATAGAGGGACCTGAAGGGTGAGGAGCGCGGGGCTCTAGAGCGGGGATCCCCCCGCGGCTCGCTCCCTCCCTCCCACCCCTGCGGAGCCGGCTCCGCCGGTGCTCGCGGCTCCGGAGGATTCCAGAGACTCGGGAGGGGCGGGAGGGGGGTCCCCGGTGCTCGGATCTCGAGGGTGCTTATGGTTCGGTCCGAGCCTGGGTCTCCCTCTCCCCCCCACCCCCCCTCAGCCCCTCCGGTCGCCGTGGAAAGTTTCACGCCTAGACGGAGGCGCTTCACCCGGGGCTGCGCTGGGCCTGGCCTGCGGCCCCCCTGGCCTGTCTGGCGGTGCTCGCCTCCTTGCCCTCCGATCGTGGGTGGGGGCCAGGGGCAGGGGTGGGATGCTGGGGTGCTGCACACTATTCACCCCTTCATGGCTTGGGGGGGATTTCTGTTCCAGAGACGGATGGCAAGCGATCCCGAACCAGTTACACGCGCTACCAGACCCTGGAACTCGAGAAAGAATTCCACTTTAACCGCTACCTCACTCGCCGCAGGCGCATAGAAATCGCGAACAACTTGTGTCTCAACGAGAGACAGATCAAGATCTGGTTCCAGAACCGCAGAATGAAGTGGAAGAAAGATTCCAAAATGAAAAGCAAGGAAGCTCTTTAGAGGCAGCGGAAAGGTCCTCAGAGAGCACCCCAGTCGGCTTCTGTCCCTGCGTCTTTCCTTTTCGGTTTTCCTCTTTCTAGATTTTGGGGCGGAGGCTGGAGCGCTGGCTCTGGGCCTCACAGACAAAAGCGCATTTCCTTAGCATTCTGCATCCCCACCGACCTGACCTAGGATTCCGCAGGGCCTTCTGAACTACCCATCTCCCCTCAACTCAGCTGAGTACCCCGGGTCCAGGGCACGCTCTGCAAGGCTTGCCCGGCAGGGTTGAGGGGCACCGTGGTCTGGTGCTGACTGAGCTTCAGCCTCTCGGGCTCTCAGCCCTAGTTCAACCAGCCAGAGTTAAGGTGAGACGGGTCAGCCACAGCCCCTTGGCCCCGACCTCCACATCCTTCTCTTTGTTCCTGCCTAGGCTGGCCAGGCCTCTGCAGACTGGTTGTGCCCTGCAGAGTCTATGACCAGACTCGGGTTGCTTCCCTTATACTAACCTTTATAGCTTCTAAATTGTCTTTACTTATTTGATTTGCATATGAAAGGGGGTGATGAGTGAAAGTGGGCCTAGAGTCCCAGAGTTTGTCTTTTAGGCTCTTCAAATCTTCAAACCCCTTCCCCAAAGCCGGGAACTGACCCAGACCAGCCTGCTGCATGCCCTCTCAGGTTCACAGCCCCAGCCTGCTAGCTAGCTCAACTATTGGGGTTTCCTGCCTTTGGACCCCAGCAAGTGGTTCTTGAGGCTCCTTTGTTAGCTCATCTTACCTGCCATGACTTTCTTGCCCTTCTGCCCCCTGCCCCTACAGTTGCCCAACTATTTATTGACACCAGTCCTTCCTGAAACTATATTTTGTCATATCAAATAAAGATGAAGAACAGGATTAAGGATGCAATGGCTTCTCTCTGTTTAGGGCATGCACTGGGTAAAAGTATCTGAAAGGATCAGAGGTGTAGGGAAGAGACCCAGTCCTTAAGCCATCCTTTAACATTTAAGTACTTCTAGAGGAAGCAAGAAGAGGGAGATGTAACAGTTCTTTTCTTGATTCTTGGTTCCAAGAAGGGCCTCTGAAGTGATGGGAGTGCTGATTTTTCCCTCTATATGCCATTTTCATCCTTGCTGAAAACATGTGAGGCATCTAGATTGTCAGTAGTTCCCATTCTATGCCAGGGCATAGGGACCAGTGGCTCCGCCAGTTAAGACTCTTCTGGGACTCTGAAGATCTCTACTGGGGCTAGGTCATCTCTGAGGGGCCTTACTGGACATAGCAGGAAGGCTGAGTCTTTCTCAGTTTAGGGACACATTTGACCTCAGAAGGACTCCCCAGTGAAAGTAGGTGCTGCTTGGTAAAGAAGGGCGGGAGAAGGGGAGTTGGCCAAGGTTTGAGATGCGCTTCACATTTCTAAGATATGGGATGGGGGAAGGGGGAGAGGGGCAGGGAATTCAGCCTGCAGTGTATGCCTGCCTGGCAGGAAACAGACTGTTCCCCATCTTCTAAGGTCCATGAAGAACAGTTAATTGGAATAAGAGCTGCCTAGACCAGTGCAAGAAATTTTTGCCATCACATTTATCTCAGGCTCTGAGATTTTGTATGGAGGAAGAGGGTGGTCTATAGGGGAGGGAGGGAGGAACACAGCTAGTTCAGGTGCCTGGTGCTGGCCTAGGCGGAGGCTCTGCTCAGCTCAGTTCCACTCTAGGCTCCAGGGATGGGCTGGAGAGGAAGCACTTTACAGGAGAAACAAATGTGGGAAGGGTCCATAAAACTTTACTGCATTTCCTCTCCAGCCTCCCACAATGGGGTGAGTTCCTGGAGCCAAGCCTAGGCCCCCCACACTGATAGGGTGGGGATCTGGAGCTGGGCTGGGGCCTGCTCTGTAGCTAGGAACAGAGCAGCTCTGGGGAGGGGCAGGGAGAATATTTATGATTATTAATGCTGATGCTCCTTCGATTTATTAAAGGACTAACTTTGCTGCATCCTCCACCTAAGCTACCTGTCTGTCATGTCTGTTATTTTTTAGCCAACCTAAGAGCTTCTCCTCATCCCATGCTTAGCACATAGGGAAGTTTAAGCAAGTGATTGTTGAGTTGCACCTACTACCACCTGTCTTTTGCCTCTGCTACACCCTGGCCAGGTTAGGACACTGCTAAAGTCCGCCCCCCGCCCCCGGTCCCCATACAGACACACACACTGAAATAAAATGTGTGGTTTTCTTCAGGGAGTTATTTTAATTTTTTTCTCCATGCTGAGTAAAACTATTGGGTGAGCAGTGAAGCATGAAGAAGCACTGGTGTCTCCAATGGGTAATAGTTAAGTAAGAAAGGCTATGGCGCCCTCACTCAACGGCTCCAGCCTCCCAGGCTACAGAAAGCCCTGTGCCTCCTCCCTGGAGGGGGGGGGCAGCAGGGGGAGAACCAAGGCCTTTGTGGGAATGGGGGTGATGTTGGTCAGATCTACTTGGCAAACTGCACTAGCCCACCAAGCACTGCTTGCCTCCTCCAGGCAGGGCCTGGACCTCCCAGTCTCCATGGAGCTGAAGGACTGACTCAGCTTGGCCAGGCTTGAGGAGACACAGTGGTGCCTGCCTGCTGTCCTTGCTGTCCTCCCTCCTGTCACAGGCATGTGCCCTGGCCCAGCCACAGCTCTAGAAGGCTCCTCAGAAGCAAACCAGATGCTGAGGGTGGGTGAGGCCTAGACCCTCGTTTTCTCTCTGAAGTTTCAGTTTAGGGTCCACATCACCAAGCTGCCAAGTACCAGGACTTGGCACTACTCTGGGAGAGTAAATGGAGGGGCTCCTGGGTCCCCAATGGAGACTGGGGAGTCTGTCCTCTCCACCTTGCCCTAGAGCCCACCCACATTGGCAGCCAGAAAGAAGGGGAAGAAGCTTGACTTACCTTCCCTGGGGAGTGGGAAGAGGGGACACCGCCCACTCTGAGCAATTAGAGGAGAGAAGAGAAAAAATAGGAAGAAAAATATCAACGCGACCTCGAGGCGACAGGTCCTTATGGAAATAAGTAAATAAATAAATACAGGTCCACCTTCTCCCCCCTCCCCACCCTGCAAGGGGGTGTGGGGGAGGGGCAAAGGAGCAGCACGAGGGCTTTTTAGTGTAACTGAGCATTAGAGAAATCGGAAGGGCTTCTATGTGAATTTAGGAGTTTGAAACTTTTGGAGGTTATTTATGTGAATGGCCGGAAGGCAAGCCCGTGAGTGGCTCTTGGGGGACCACGTGATGTCATTAAACCAAGTTTTATGGTGTAGGGAGAGCTGACAAACCCACAATATATTTACATCATATATAATCTTAACTGTCCAGCCACGCAGCTGCTGGTGAGGTTTAATGCTAGGACAGAGGGCCTGGCAGTTAGAGGGGATTACGGCGCTGGGGATGATGGTGAGAGAGGTTACATCTTCGCAAATGAATCCCAGGCGATCGCTGTAAGTTAATTCTCTCCCTCTCTATTTCAGACCCTTTCTCCCATTTACCTAACTCCCTCCCCCACTTGAAAGAAATTCTCACTCTTTAAGGGAAGGAGAGAAAAGGTCTCTCCAGACTTCTTCAGGCGGGAATGGGAGAAGGGAGGAAGCCGCTGCGATGTAGGAAGATGGAGGAAGGGGCTTGTCTCCCTAGATGAGGCCTCCCTTCCCCAGCCTTCATTCTCTCTGGCTGCAAGTCAGCAGGGGTAGAAAGTGGCCTTGGCTCTTTAGAGTTTTGCAAGGTCTTCCTAACCCTCTGTCTATTGGGAAAAAAGCCAGCAGCAGAGACATGAGTGTTTGGTGTTAGTAGGGCTCTGTAAACCCTAAACACAAGGGCAAAGTGCCTCCTGGGCCCTGTGTTCCTGGGAGGGGCCAGTTTAGCTCTTGGCCACTGGCCAAGAGTCCAGGCAGTGTGGGAAGTTAGAGAGGGATGTAGGAAAGGAAGGCTTTGTGGCTTCAGAGCCCACAGACTGCTGCCTGGACTGGTCCCAAGGTCTTACCACTGGGCCTGGGTGGGCAGGACTCCCAGCCTGCAACACCCTTGGCTTGTGTCTGAGGCCCTTAAGGCCCAATTTTAGTTACTAGGCTCCTTTTGGCACCCCCAGCCCTTGCCTAGGAAAAACTAGGCCCCTGGAGGCCTAAGAGGCTTCTGCTTAGTGTGTTAGTAAATGTGTTGGATGTGTGTGAGCATGCTACGTTGGGAAAGGCCCCAAACGGGGAGGAGGACAGTGTAGCTCCCAGGATGGAGCTGGCAGGACCCAGTTGTGCAGAGTACCCTGGGACTCCATGTTTCTATAAGGAACAGCAAAAGCATGGGACTTGGGAGGCACAAGTCCTCCACACCTGCAGAGCTGAACCCGCCGCCGGGACCTAAGCCAGGAAAGTGACATGTGAAAGAAGGCTCCTCATTGCTCTGGCTGGAAACCAGGAGGGGTTTTTAAGCAGGGCTGGATGCTGGGGAGGGCCGGGGTGGGGGGAGGAGAGAGAGAGAAAGAGAGAGAGAGATGGGGAGGGCCAGGGTGGGGAGAGGAGAGAGAGAGAGAGGTGTGTGTGTGTGTGTGTCTATGTGTGTGTGTGTGTGTGAGAGAGAGGGGAGGAGAGAGAGAGAAAGAGAGAGCGAGAGGGGGAGGGCGAGGGTGGGGAGAGGAGAGAGAGAGAGAGAGAGAGAGAGAGAGAGAGAGAGAGAGGCTTCCACTTCCCTAAGGGAACTGCTTCACAGGCTTTGGGGCAGGGATGCAACTGCGGGGAGGAAAAGGATTGCTGTCAGCACCACCCAGGCTGCTGTACCCCAAACAATATGGGAAGAACCTAGTAGAGATCAATAACTAGGCAAGTTTGAGAAGGGCAGAGGTCCAAAGGCAGGGGGAGGCCAAGCCAAGCGCCAACCTTATTTGTGGCCGTCCCTTGCCTGCGCTAAGAAGCTCAGGCTTCCCACATGGAAGCCTTCTCTTAGGACCTAGGTCTAGTCCCCCTTCCCTTCGTAGCCTCAAGGAGTCTCCCCAGGAGCCCATTCGAAAGTTAACTCTTAGTTGGTTTCCTCCTCCCATTTGCCCGTCCTCCCCACTAATCTGTGATTTTGAGGTTTTCTGGAAGTTTTCAGACCCAAGCATCAGCGAGATGAGAATTTCTCTTGGTCCATATCCCAACTCTTCTCTCCCTCGGGCCTCCCTAGGGTCCTAGCAGAGAGTTCAGTGGTCTTTAACCAGAAATTTAGCCCGAGCCAAAGCTGCGCTCCCTTGGCATCCCTCCAGAGCCCTCCCTGCCGGGCCACAGAAGGGACTGATCCTTTCCCTTTCTCTCTGAGAGGAGGACCCGGTGAAGGTGTTTCTATGGTTCATGGATTTACACAGTATTTCTTGCGGTGTTCAATCCTTCCCCTCTTTTTGATCCAAAGTTCCATCTCAATTCATTCCATCTTTCTGTAACAATACTTCCTCCACAATTTGCTTTCTTTTTTTTTTTTTTTTTTTTAACTATTTTGCCGATCTCACCTGGAATCCACAAACACAAAAGGGGGCTGAGAGTCTTGGTTTCCCACTCTTTTCTCTAGCAGAATTTGAGATGGGGGATGGGCAAACAATTGGATGCCAAGGTGCCCCAGCCAACCCAGAAAGCTTTTAATTTTGTTCCTAGGTCTTTAACCCTAGAGGAGGCCGAGCAACCAATCAGGAATATGCTTATCATAGTCACATGCGCTCACCAACCAATCAGCAAAAAGGTGCTTGGATCAGTGTAAGGATCTTTCCTCCTCCACTCCTCTTCTTCCCCCCTCCCTCTTTGACACCGGTTTCAGGACCTGGGTTTGCCCAGCTTTAGATGCTTAGACCGGAAGGGAGGGGACGAGAGGAGAGGAGGGGAAGGGAGGGGAGGAGCAGTACTGAGCAAAGTCTAGTCCCGGCCCTCGGACACAGGCTGCTCCAGGAGTCTCTGGCTTGTGTCCTCAGTCTCTATCAAAGTTGGATGTGGAGATCAGTCCCAGTTGTTCAAGAATCTGAATTGTTTGGGCATCTTCTGAAGTGTTGCCTTGTCAGTGTGACTGTCCGATTCTCTATACTTTCAGAGGGGAATCTCTGAATTAGGATATAGAGCAAATGTGGATGGAATGCCAGCCCTGAATTCAAATTCTGTCCAAGATGACTTCCCACAGACTCACCCTTCTTTTTTTAAAATATTTTATTATTTTTATTTTATGTGTATGAGTGTATTGCCTGCATGTATGTGAGTGCACCCCACCCGTGTCCTGCAAAGCCCCGGAGGTCAGGAGAGGGCTTCCGATTCCCCTGGAACTGGAGTTAAGGACGTTTCATAGCCGCCATGTGGGTACTGGGAATTGAACCCGAGTCTTCTGCAAGAGCAGTCAGTGCTCTTAACCACTGAGCCACCTCTCCAGCCCCTGACTCACCCTTCTTACCTTTTGGAGTTTTCCTTTCTCTGGTTCTCTAGAGGGAGGAGGGGAGTGGGGCCATTAGAAGAGACCTTTTTTGATTGGTCTTTCTGAAATGCTCCAGGAACAATTAGTTTTATCTGATTGCCTCAAGGGTGGTTGGAGAAGGAAGCAAAAGTGAAGATTGGTTTTGAAACTTATGTTTGTTCCATACCTATTACTAGTTTGTGAAATAGCTTTGAGCCAGTTAAGAGAAAGAGGCTAAAAAAGAGTGAACACAAAGAATCAAGTGGCTCGTCACCCTCCATATTCAACAGTTGATTGGTTTGTTTAAGCTCTTTTCCCTTCCTTTTTATCATGGATTTATTTATTTATTTATTTATTTATTTATTTATTTATTTATTTATGGTCTTTTTGAGACAGGGTCTCCCTGTAGCCCCAGCTGTCCTGGAACTCACTATGTAGTCCAGGCTGGCCTGGAACTACTTGCCTCTGCTTCTGGAGTGCTGGGATTAAAGGCGTGTACCACCATGCCCAGCCTTTCCCCTCCTTTTGAAAATATGTAATAAAAGGGCTCAGTGGTAAAGCATGCACTTAGTATGCTCAAGACATGAGTTCAACATATACATATGTTAATACATATCTATGTAATGATAGAAATGGTGATGATCCTGTGTTCTTGCCAATAGATGCCAAAAAACACAGTCACTGAAGGGGTATGTATTTTGATTTTGTGTTTACTGGGGTCAAATCAGAATCAGCAATGAGGGAAAAAATTGCTTCTGAGCAACAGAACCTGATGACAACAGTGTGGGTGTGTTTGTGGATATTTGGATCCTGGTAGGTCCAGACCTAGGCATTATCTTTGTAACTCTATCTCCAGGGTTTTGTCCAGGGTTAATGTTCTAGTGGGGTTCCCTGCCCTCCCCTTCTCCTCTGACCTCCTGTGCACCTTGAACTAAGGAGTGGGAGCCCTCCCTGGGCCTCTAAGCCATCCTCTGAAAGTACTGAAGATTAGATGCAAGAGGGAGAGGAATAACCTGGTTTGAGCTGGGCCTTGTCAACACTGCCCTGCTTGTATCTTCTGGATGGGGCTGATTTGGGGACAATGCCGTAGGCCGGGGTGGGGGGCGAAGATTAGGGTAAGAAGCCAGAAATAGGCAATTCTTTTCAGAAATGGAGCCTCTTCAACACTTCCAATCACACTGCTCCATTTGCCTCTTTTATGAGTTAAGATTAAAGCAAACATTCATGTTTTCCCAGTGGAGGGTGTTATAGTCTTGTCTGAAACCAACCCCCACCTTCAGTGAAGACCTCTTACACTAGGCTTACCAGATCCTGTGATGGGTGAGAAGACAGCATATTGGCTCTGTCCCCACAGGCTCCCAGAAGACAGACTTTTCAAAGTGCCTCATTCCCTCCTCATGCCCAAGCATAGGCATCTCTTTACCCTGCTAGGTACTTTGGGCTGATTCTGAAAGGAAGAATGCTGAAATATCTTTGTTCTGGGTTTTAATTATGTCATTTTGCTGGGAGGACAGCAGTTACTCCTCTGAGCCTTCTCCAAGGTGCAGCTAGAGCAACTGAAGCCCTTGGAAGATGAGAAGAAAGAGAACATGGAATTAAGATGCCTAGCTAGGGCTTTGGGATTAGGGCTCCAACAGAAGTGACTCTGTTAAAGGGTAAGAAAGTCAAATCCCTTCCCTGTCTCCCACTTTTGTTGGATCCTTATAACCCCTAGTGGTGTGCCTGTTCTGATAAAATCTCTTTGGCTACTTTGGTAGAGTTCTAGGAGCCTAAAAGGGCCTGGGCCAAGTAGTACAGTGATAGAAATCTTTGCCCTTGAGCCTCCCAGAACCCTGGGATTTGTCTCCCTCTCCCACTCCTAACGCTGAATGAGTGAAGGTCTAAAGAAGAGCTCGTGTGTGTGTGTGTGTGTGTGTGTGTGTGTGTGTGTGTGTGATTCAAGGCTTGGGAAAGTTGAGCTAGGGCATTTATTCATTTATCCAGGACCTTGCTCAACCTCTAATGACAACACCTAGAAACTATGGTGAAGTTACCTAGAAGGTTCTGGGCA